CATACAATGCAAAGCTTTTGTTTCGTAATAGGTCAAATGCTAGAAGAAAATTAATATTTATTTTTTTTTGAAGCAAACAAGGCGAGTAATATTTTAAATTTTGCAACAACTTTGTTTCCTAACATTAATGCATAACTTACTTAAACAAATACAATCTGTGTTGTGTTTATTGCAATTAAGTGTAGTCTGAATTTTTATGCTGACATCTATATAGACCTTTAAGGCCCCCTTTGGATGGCATGAGAAATAGAGGATAGGAATAGGGAAATGTAGGATTGAAGGTGGCATGTTGTGTGAATCTTATGGAATGAATCCTATAGGAATTTATCCTACCGTGCCTTTGGTTCACAGTGCAGCTCTTCTCTCTATTGCTGCTATCTATATCTATACCTAATAATAAAGAGAGAAAATTTTCACCCATTTTTTTCGTCCATCCATTTTTTTTCGTCCGCCTCCGACTAACTACCAAAGATCACTCTTTCTATTAGCTCACTTACTTAGTTTAGAGATGCAAAACCTTATATTTACACAACTCATATTATTTACACAACTTCTCATGTTTGAATATATAATGCAAAGAACATCTCGACGACCGCTCCATCTCGGACTTGCGGTGCCGATATTTCTCCTAGTCCACTTACTTGCAAGTTCCTCGTAGTACCACCCAAGCATCATCGCAGCTTACAAGCTTGTTCTATTCCCAAAGAATTGGAGCCTTGGTTACCGGAGTGGCAATTCTACTAATGATAGTACTGCTTTTTCCTAATCCGTAGAAAGAATAAAGAACTCAAAAGATGGAAGGAAATAACCATCCGGATGCATGTAGTTTTTCCCGTGTCAAGAAGGGCCAAGAAGGTAAGGGTTTCCTTTTTTTTTAATTGTGATATTGTAATTCTTTCACTTAACGCTCTGCTATTTGGATGTCCAACTGCCTTGGATAATTTAATGAGGTTTATATGGCATACGATACAAGTGCATACTACCATTTCTTTGTGAATCGTGGTTGATTAAAAGTCTCTCCTGCTTGTCGCAACCAGAGAATTTAGAGCATTGGTGTCTTCTTGGCGTCATGACACCTAGCGCTACAAGTTTCACAGAAACACCCTCAATCTTTTAGGGAATTAACCCGCAGTCCAGTTAGAGATGCCTCTCCACTCGGTCCAAACCCTAACCCCATCCTCATTCTCGCTTTCCTTTCTCTCTCTTCTCGTCGCCGCCGCCGCCGCCTCCATCGCCTCCGAATCTCCCAATGAATAGCGTATGCGTAACTCCCGACACGCCACCGGCCATTGTGGGCGGCGACTCGACCGAGCTCGAAAGCGTCAACGCTCTACTACAATGAGGCCTCTTTCGAGACGATTTGTGCCCGGGAGCCCGACACCGTGGACTCCGACCGCTTGGGGACCTATGGCCACATCTTCCGCCCCGAGAACTTCGTCTTGAGCCGGGGGGGCCAAAAAACAACCGGGCCAAGGGCCACTACATTGAGGGAACCGAGCTCATCGACACCGCGTGCTCGACGTCAGTGCGCAAGGAGGCAGAGAAATCGCGACTAGCGGCAAGGTTGGTTCTGCCAAACAACGAGGTTGTTGTATCCAGCTTAATGTTCGGCAAGGTACACACAAAGTCACCCCTAATCTTGCAGATGACTTGTATTGGATCCAATGGATTCATCATTATTGAATTGGTTGTATGTGAAATCCGTAGATTTATTAATGAGTTGGTTCCGTATGTGGAAGGGCAGTCATCCGGTTCTTCCGTAAGTAGTATTCAGGGAGTGACATCTGTGCAAACTAATTGCCCTTTTAGTTATAGAGGTAGTGGAGCTATTAGTAGTTGATTGGATCTAAGAAGACCGACACCATGTCTGCAAGGATCCAAAGATTGGATCAGACCAAAACACAATAGCAAGTTCGTGAACCTTGCGAAGGGGAAGCTCAAGCCACAAAAGGCTTCTCCCGACCATGCTAACAATTGAGTTGAGGCCAAGGGCTAGACACCTTGCGCCGGGTGTATGTCAAGAGATCGACGGATTTTTATGATCGTTGAGGCCGGAAACCGCTTCAGCCTGCCGAGGCTGATGTGCTTCTCTCAGATGTTCCACTATGCCCAATTTTAGTCTTTCGATTTCAGTACCAATAATCGAATCCATGGGTTTTTAATCTACTCATTTGCAGCTTGTGTTCATTTGTAAGACTTCCAAATCGTGATACATTTTACTATTGTTACCGTCTAACAATAGGCGCCTTTAGAAGAACTATTGACTCATTGACCCCATGAGTGACCTCACCTTCATATATTCAATAATGAGCAAAGAAACAGCTTGGTCACCTATTTTTTGATTGATGTGCGACATCTTGTGTTTAGGTGATTTCTAAAATGATAAAAATTGATTTGAGTTAGAACTTTTAATATGTAGTGCGTTTATGGATTAGTAATGAGAAATATGCTAAAATGTCATTTATTGAACTATCAAAATCTCGTGTGTTTTCAAATAAAGAAGGTCTATCACCGGCAGTAATGAAGATGGATCACGACAGCTTTCCGATGCGTGAGCTTTGATAAGATGATCGTATGCATTTCTATGTTATTACGTCTGCTTCATACATTGTTATATACGGAGAAGAGGTAGCTTTACATCTACAATTTGTAGTGCATAGATAGTAACAAATCTTTTCAAAGGCTTTGTAATTTTGCTTATCGATACCCACTATTTAACTATGAGTTGCTAATTTTGTCTCATTACAATGAAGTATAACAAGGCCATATTGTTTGCGGAAGGTAAATATCTCTTTCCCATGTTTTATTTCCTTCCGAATCTTACCGCACTCAATAGGTCGGCTCTCGATTGACCTTTTTCACATATGGGTTACTTGGAAGCTCTCATGATTAAACTACCAAAGTATGGTGATTGGTAATGGCCTTTTCAGCTTTGCTTTGGTACTTCTCAAACACATGTTAGATAGCATATGCTATATTCTTATGTAAATTTATTATTTGCTTGGATTTATATTTTGGTATTCCATTGGTCAAGAAATCATATTGTCACTATGTTTTAATACTTCTATTATCTTTCTTGTTCTTGCCTGTCTTAGAAGTTTGAACCATTCTAAAATTACAACTCGTAATGAATTGACTTATTTCTTGCACCAAATTCAAGTATACAATAGTTCGATTATTGACCTGGATATAATCGAGCAATACTTATTTGGGAAAAGTAATCGCACAATATTTTGATTAAAGAAAACAATATTGTTTTGTCAACACATACTTAATCTTTAATCAATGGTTGTCACTTTCATTGGGTCAATGCTAGCTTACAGCTTACAACACCATTTACGTTAAAAAAAGCAGTTTTTACACCAATAGGTGTATACCATATCTTCCGTAGAGTGGAGTTAAAAAAATATCTTCCATAGAGTGTATATCGTTGTTACAAGATTTTCTATTTTCTTATGCAATATTTTAGTGATCATACCATGTTTTTTGTCATGTTGCTTGTATTAATAATTTTATGATTAGTGATTATTATTATACATGCTCACTACAATTATACCTGGATCATTTGCATTCATTATGTTGGCAAAATTAACTACCAAGCCTGTAACTGTGTACAACATGCATACCATTTCAGAGGCCTTGTTTCCACTGATTTCGGACTAGCTTGCAGGAAAGCCAATTTTTTAGACAGCTTGTAATTAAGATGTTTCTTTTCAAGATTGGATAAGATTAAATTTTGTTTAATGGTCTTGCTCTTGACTTATGAATCAGGTACACGAAGATGTGGTCAAGACCCACTGTCGTTGTCAAACGACACTTCTGCCTAGCCAATGTTAAGGGATTTGGAGTATAAGTTGATTTTAACTGCACGTCAATCAGAGATTCTTCTATGAGTCTTTATGTTCAACGTCATGACAAACTCTTTTTAAGTTCATTATGGTTGCATGTATACTTCCTACTTAGATGTATTTTTTTTTATTTTTCAAATCTCACACCCTAAATTGATCTACAATACTGACCCTTTATAGTGATGCCTAATGTAGAGAAGTTTTCAAAGATGTCTGATGAAATTCATGGAATGTTTTTTTAAGAATCATAGTGTATTACATGGAAAAAGTTTTCTTAATTTTTTTCTATGAAACAAGAAAATTGTCGTTTGAATTTGACTAAATAATTTATTAGTTTGAATTAGTTTGGCTAAATAGCCAAGATAGGGCGCCCGAAGGGCGCCAAATGTTCTAGTATTCTTGATTCTAGATGATACAAAACTCATTTATGGCTGTCGGTGTGGATGTGATAAGGGAAAGGAGCCAGAATGAGAGTTATAGCCTAAGGCAAACATGAGGGAAAACATAAGGGCATAAGCCCAGTTAATATGTTTTGCTTCTTCCATGCTATTAAAAAAAATCTACCATGTGCACAATACAGTCAATATATATATAAAAAAAAACTCGACCATGGGAGGAGACTCCTCTATATGGCTTTGAAATAAGAAGGTGCCAAAGCTTGAACCCGGGTCGGATGGGAGAGTCCCAGAGCTCACTCCTCTAACCCATTCACACCATGAGAAGCTTGGCCAAGACAAATAATATCTCAAGTTGGTATACATGGTATCCCTTCCACTCATTGTCTTAAATAAAAAAATAACCTAGGATGGGCTAGTTGATTTCTAATTTTAAAGTAAATAGACACCCAAATTCGAGATATGGAGGACTCGAACATGGATGGGCGGTGTGTAGAACTCCCATAAGTGAGCTAAGCTCAGCCTTTCACCATCATCATGAGGCTATCAATAAAATGGATAATAATGATGTGGTCTGATTTTTATTTATTTATTTATTTTTTTTATTTTTTTTGCCAAAGTGCATCATATTAAATACTATGATGGACTTCCTGTAATTTATTCAAAACCTTATCCTTATGGTTCAATTTATTTGCCTACCGAAATGTTTTTTTCGTGCAATTCCACCATTTTTAAGCAGATTTGAAGTTACAGAGAAATGAAGAAAGCAACAAGGAACTTCAAAGACGGTGTTAGGAGGAGGTGAAAATGGTACAAAGATTCAGAGGACAACTAAATGATGGATCTGTGGTTGCTATCGATGCGTTGAGAGTTCACCAAAACAAAATTACCATGAATTTTGTAAAGAAATGGAATTTCTTGGCGGTTGATCACCGCATCTTGTTGGACTAAAAGGTTTTTGTTCAACAAGATTTGAGAGGTTAATATCTGTTGTAACTAAATTCAGATATCCACCAATTATGGTTGTTACAGTGTTCTGTGATCCAGGTTTCAGGTATATGAATACATGGAAAATGGAAGCCTTCAAGATCACCCGCATTGTAATAAGTCATGTTCTATTCTCATATTCTTCCGATGATGCATCATTTGTTGAATTGTATGTTTAAAATCACTCGCTTTTTTCAAAGCACCAAGTAAACATCTCGCTACCATGGAAAAATAGGGTCTGAATTGCCATCGATGTTGCTAATGCTTTGGTAAGTTTCAGGAAATCTGTGATTGTTTCTTTCTTTCTTTCTTTCTGCAGAAGTCAGTAATCGTGATAAGCAAGACTTATTAGTTGTTTCTTACAATTTTGTCAACTTGTGAAAGGCTGAATCAATATTTACCATACTCCCCGTCATGACTAAATATATTTCAAATTTATGTTTTACTTTTTATGATGTTTGGTTACAGGAGTACCTTCATTTTTATTGTGATCCTCCACTATACCATGGAGATGTTAAGCCTAGCAATGTCTTCTTGGACAAGAATTACCTTGCAAAGGTAATTCATACAGAACTTTGTCACAATTTACAATCCTATTATGCACATCCCAACTGTTTGTCCTTTAATGACTTTGTCGGGTCATGGGTCTTGTGCACTACTCTAGTAGTGGCAATACAACTCCCAGCTTGCACACCAAGAAATGTCAAGATCCAAGCAACTCCTGGTAAGGCTATGTTGTTTATAAATTCTGTGTGCCTTTTGCTCATCAATTTTAGATGAAGGAACCAGATATTTTGAATGTAGTCCCGACCTCGTGATCCGATCGTTGTCGAAAGAATAGAAACTGTAGTGTGCACAATGTGTCACCATATGTCCATATCAAACCTAATGTACCAGCTCAAAACCCACATGATAATCCTAAACTCCATTTACCATTTTTTGTTTTGGCACACAAAATACAAAGTTTCATCAATTATGTTAGGTGAATTCAGACTTCAATCATAACCTCTATCCCGTGTTTCTGAATTTGCTATATTAATTTATCTCGTATTGTAGTATGATGCTATCCGTTTTTGTCCTTGCTATCCGGTTTTTGTCCTTGCTATATTAATTTCAGATTTCAATCATAACCTCTCGCTTTCGTTAATTTGCGATTAATGCACACCAATGCAAATAGCAGAATGTTTCTGAAACCTGAGTGGTTTCAATTGTTAGGTTCAAATGATGAGGAGACATTCATTCACAGTGGAATTCCTCTTGCCGATAAGGATCATGACATCATCGCTTTTTTTCAAAACAAAGAAATATCAACAAGGCCACCTCTAACCCGTAAGCTTTCATATTTCACACGTCGCAACTTTTATATGTCCATAATTTAGTATATTTTTAATCTAAGTGACCAATACATTTATGGTATGGCACAAATTATAATCTGTGGCATTTGAATATGTGTCCACATACATTAATTCGACCTAACACCCAAACACCTAATTCTCGTTTGGACACAACAGAATCGATGGTGTGCAAACACGTAACTATTTCTTAAAAAAGTAAAGCATGATTCAAGGATGTTCCCACCGAAAAGAATCATTCATTTTCTAGGTAGCTAAAACAGATACTCTCGAGAAAATACCTAGGCACAATCAAGATCCAAAGATCGCCGACATCGCCTAGGCAGCTAAAAAGCAGACTCTCAAAGAAACACTTCAAACCATCGTGGCTCGGCAAGTAGTTCGCCATGACAAAGTGTGCCGACAAGTGTTTCGGTATTGATGGCACACAAGCGGTGCGAGGAAGCAATCTCTCCCTCCGTAGTCCGCAGCGATCACCTTGATGGTGGCTATGGTGAGGTGGATGCGACGTGGTCGTGATTGCGGGATGCCGGCCGACCGGCAGCTTGAACTTGCGCCTTCCGGCAAAGCTCCACCGTATAAGCGGCACCATGGCCGCATCATAGGCTAGGGCTGCCTGAATGGCATTTTGAAACCTGCCGATCCACAACTTCAATCGAGTGCGTGGTATGCGGATCTCCATAGCCCACCCACCCCAACGCCGTTGTCGCACGCCCGTCCAGCCCATGGCCTTCTGTGGCCGACGACCAGTGGATGCTGACCCCCTAGCCGGACGCCCACTGAGGCGCTGCTGGGGACATCCCCTCCCTTCTGATGCCATGGCGCTGGTTCGCACGGCTGCTGCGGGCATAGCTCACCTGCAATGTGCAAGAAAGCCGAGAGAGAGGCCAGTATGGTGGTTCTAAGTGGAGACGAATGGGATAGAGAGGGTGTGGTTTTAAATGCGTGGGAATAGATGAGACCCAGCTTGTCGGTGCCTCCCGTTAGTCATTCAGCCATGCACCTCTTACGCCGCAGTATTTATTGGCACATAAGCCAAGTGATTACCTCATAAAGATTTTTTAACTATGACTGTCCTGATTGTGTTTCATCCTGCAACAAAAGTAAATGGTATTTATTATCTAATATTTTAGCAGATAACTGGTTGGAATTAGAGAATGCTGCTTCTGAGCCTCCATAGAACAAGCAAGCAGTCTTTGGTTGGCTTAATTAAAATGCTACGATCACCTATCAAACTAAGGAACCCGGAGGGAGAAGGGAGAGATCTCAACCCAATACAAAATACACAACGCCACAGAGGCACACCACATGTATTTATTCTAAGGGCACAGAGGAACATCGAACAATACATACATGAGACTGCACACACCTAAAGGTACATACAAAGCAACAAAAGGTACACATAAAAGGTACTTAATAGCGTCCACGGTACAACGACATAGTAGCCTAACATGGGTAACAATATATGGGAAAACACGACCAGATGGACGGAAGGAAGCCTTTGAATTGGTTGTTGCACATGCTGCGCTGTCATTAGGGATGGTGTGTTCGTGGGCGGTACATAGGAGATTGCTAGGCTAGCACATGGTGCAAGTGCCAACATTTCCTAGAGGCCCCTCATGTGATTGCATCCCCGCCAGGAGTGGAAAAAAAGTAAGTTAGCGAGCCATTTAAAATACTGATGAACAATTCTTGTGAAGCAACACAAACCAAGGAGCATGCATGCATACCTTTAAAAGCTCCCAAAGAGGGATGTATGTAGGGATGTTCTCCAGACAATGTTGAATAGCTGTTCAACAAGTTGTATATACTGTGGGTCCGGTCCAAAGAACTGCTCTGCACCGATGGACGTAAGAGGAGTCAGTCAAGAAAGGATATCACTATAGCTTGAGCAGATGGATCCAAGGCGGTCCAAAAGCTCCTTACGAGACTTGAATAGGTTGTCCGCTTGGATGCGCAACGTATCATACTTAGTCTCAACAAGCCGGGACCAAGACATGAAGTGGTCCAAATTGCTTATACGCTTCCTTGAAAGCGTAATAAGTCGATCATTAATGCAAATATTCATCCTTCCTATAAAATAGCAGTATTGCTTGCTCAAGAACACTTTCTTCGCCTCATATAAGCTCGTGAAAGGGACACTCTCGAAAGTCTGAACTTCGGCGTGGCCCTTGCCGCCAAACTTTGGAGCGAATCTCAATGCTCACCACGCCAAATTTTCTTGTTATCCAACTTCATCGCTTCCCTCGGTGCGAATAATCGCGCCTATCTTGGGAAGAATCATGTCCTAACATGCTCTTTATGTGATATATCAAGTACAACCGAACCTACAACAAAAGGGACAGTAAATATAAGGATCTAGAGTATCTGTGTGTATATATAGGTGGACCCAATGAGTAGCTACTATAATCAGAACTCATACGCATGATAAGCAAAGTGCACAAATAGAAGCAAAGATGGACCAAATAGTGTCAATGAATGATCAGCATGATAACCCAATACCATCGTGCTCCATGCCAAAACAACTAAATAAAATAATACCACAAGACGGGGCCGCAGCGTGAACGGGAGTGGGGGGCACGGGGGACATGGCCATCTAAAGAACCGGAGGGAAGTGGTGGCACGGGGACATGGGCATGAAAATTAGCCAACGGAAGCGGGCGGCGGGGGACATGGGCATCCAAAGTACAGAGGGAAGTGGTGGCACGGGGACATTGGCATGCAAATTAGCCAACGGAAGCGCCCGACAAGGGGACACGACCATCGAAACCATCGAGAGGAAGTGGCGGTCACGACCATCGAAACGATCGAGAGGGAAGTGGCGGAGCTCCTTCGCTGACGACACTCTTACCCTTGTCCACGTTGATGATGACGCCTTACCTTTATCCATGTTCTCGCTAGATGAACGACAAGTTATTGTCTTGGATATATATAGAATCAATCTGGTGCATACATAGGTCAGAAAGATTTTTTATTTAAAATAAAACAAATATATGTAGAATTTGATATGCATTTCCGTAATACAAGTGGCGGGAAACAATATATAATTATATCTATGCGAGATAAGAATTCACACCGACACATGCCAAAGTATGAGAAAGGACAAAATAAAATAAGGCTGCTACAAATAACATTAGTAGACTATTAAATATAACATTAAGGCTGCTAAAATAACATTAATAAGCTATTAAATATAGCATTAATTAGTTGATGATGCATGATCCTATTCGGTTGGACCACTGCCTGGAACGTGGATGGGTGAACGTTGTCTCCCTAGCTATACCAGGAACCTATTGCAACAATAAATTTGGAATGCTCAATTACTGACTCCTGACCTATGCCTTCTTTGTGGATCGCCACGCAGCCCCTCACGCATGGAACTTGCCATATAAATAGCCATGCCATATAAATAGCCAAGCTGCTTGCAGTGGAGTAATGCTGGCGCGTGAGCTACACACATGACAAGGATGGGCTACCCGAATAAATGCCGCAATCGTAAACCCGCCCTTCCTTGAATGCGTCACTGGCGGCTTTGCAAAATGGTCAGGCACACGAGCAGCCGCAATTTTTGTCCATCGGCAACATTTTTGCACGGAACACGATCCATCCACACCATGACGTAACGCGTGCACCCTTGGACCCATCCAAAGCTGATGCTAGTGCGTATGCATGACCCATGAATCCTTTGACACATCTATGGCATGAAATAAATTTACTATGCACAACCAGAATTTACCGTGAGAGGCAAATGAAAGGACGATGTTCGAATTCAATCTCTTGTCACATCTATGCATGGAGTAAATTTACACCGCCAGAAAGAACTTTACTACGCACAAAAAAATTTACAATGCAAAGATGCAGGTGTGACCATGCAAGAGCGCAAAGGAAGGTGGTCCTTGAATCTCTTTTCGCATTTATGATATGGTATAGGTTGTCTAGGATGCCAAAGTCATTTATGATGGCGTTGACCTATCCTAGAAGAGGAACCCCGAGTCCATTAAATAGCCATTCTTGCAACATAGCAGGTAAAACCATTCTTGCAACCATGCTAGGGGCCGAGCGCATTGCAACGTTACTTGGCAGTGCCATGCCCATCGCACCACATACCCCTCAAATACATATGTCCGAATTGTCTAGACCTACAAAGAAGAAGCTCTGTGTGCACAATGCCGAAAGTGCACCATGTATCCCACCATGCATCCCACCGGACCCCTGCAGTGTTCTAGAATCCGCCAAAGGTAGTCACCCCTATATAGGTAACATTTAATTGAATAAGCACTCAAAGATATCTTGCAGTGTGTCAAGAAGGCAACCAGAGATGTGGTACGCAGACGAGATGTGTTGAGCCTTGTTGATGTGGCCGGGTGCAACAATACGTCTGTAATGGGGCTATGGTGGTTTACCTTAAAAATGGCTCAAGCGATAGATTCTACTCACGTAGGTCCAAGCAAGAGAACCTCTGTGTT